CAGCTTTTGGAGATGGTATTTTGTGACTGTGAGGGCTTGGGATTTTGGGGTGTTGAAAGCCCATTGGTAGCTGTGCACTTACCCAGCTGGGAGATGGTGCTGGTGGAGCCCCCCAGCATAGGTCCCTGCAGAGAGCTGGTGCCACCACAGCATCCAGGCAGTGGCTGGAGAGTTGCTAGCAGAATCTGGCCTTGTCACTGGGCATCTCTGCTCTTGCTACAGCAGACTCTTCCCTCAAATTTACACTGTGTGCTTAACACAACCTGCTAGCATGGACCTGCTGACTGCAAAGGAGAGCTGGGTTTGGTGGCTTTGCAGCCCCATGAAGTTGAGCTTCTTTTTAACCCCCCCGGGGTGGGAAGGGCTGGGCTGGGCTCTCCTTGGCCAGTTGCAGCTGGTGAACACTGGCTGTCAATAAGCCCTGCTGATGGAGGAGGGCAGGGAGCAGCAAGGAACAACGTCACCATCCATCACTGATTGTCATGGTGAAGCAATTCATCTAAACACCACTGCTAGAGTGCTGTAAATATTTTATTAATGGCTGCTTCAGTTTGCAGCATTTTCGTTACTGCCCACACCAGCAGTGCTCGTGCTTTGTATGATTAGCCAGGGGAGCCACGGGGCATTTTGTTTCCAGCCCTCTGCCCCTGTGCAGGCAGGAGCCCTGGGGGAAGATGCACATCACCAGCAGCCGGGTCCTGCCATGGCAGAGGGCTCAGGCTCAGGCAATCCCACCATGTCAGAGCTGGCAGGGCACTGACCATGCCAGGATGAGCTGAGTAATCTGCTCTTAAGAGGTTTCTCTGTTTCCTCTTGCCCTGCTTTTGCCATTCAGTCTGCAGGACAAAAGCCTCTTCAGCACGAATCCTGCCCAGGCTCTCCAGGTGACAAACACTTCAGGCGTAATGTCACTGCATTTATCACCTCTTGTATTTCAACTTGCCATGCATTATTTTCCATGACAGAACAACCCACCAAATGACTTGTCATCCATCCTCCTCAATACAGCAACATTCTCAATCAAAAGGATTTCACCTTTTTTGCCCCTCAAAAGGCACCAGTCCAGGTGACATGAGTTCCAGGCACCCCTGACTTTGCTGGGCACTCATCTAGGGCTCTCAGTGGATCCCTGCAATGTCCCTGCTACTGCTGGCATTTGAAAAAAAACAAAGGCAAAAGAGACAGAAGGAAAGAGCCTTCCCTTCCCCCGTCCCCTCCCGTAAGTCATTTTCTCTGGCCTACTTTGCAGGAACTGAAAATCTATTAGAGGAAAAGCTTAATCCGGTTTGACTGTAATAATTAGGGTGCTTTAAAAAAATACCCTGACTAATCGTATAAAATGTGACTGTAGACAGTTCAGTGCATGACCCTTACACTTATCACTTGAGGTATTATTACAAACCAGCAGCAGCTGGCAAGCACAGGGGAGGATAAAGGGGGAAAAAAGATCACATGCAAAGGAACAGGGAATGTTCCTTTTCTGATCTCATAACAGAGGCACTGGCAGCGCCTTGAGCGTCTTTCCAACACAGATCCAAAGCATGAAGACACCTCCAAGACCTTGGATAGACAGCTCTGTATTGGCCAGTGGTGCATCCCACCAGCCACGGGGTCCTGCCACTAGTACCTCCTTTTTTCACACTGTTTTTGTGAGCAGTCCAAGAGGATTTGAATTAGTGCTGGAATGATTCTCCTCGGGGCACCCTGTGATCAGCAGATGATTATAGCAACAATGGGCAGCTTTTCCAAAACAAGCCAGTTTGTATTAGTCAAGCAGGATATAGTGCTTTGGGGTCATTGGGTTAGGATAGAAAAGCAGTTCTTGCTTCCATGCCTTGGCTGGTAACAATCTCTTCTTCCCTTCCTCTCCATCTTTCTCAGGCAACAACAGCCACAATTTCTTCATTCCCCTCCTGAAGCCAAGGCTGCAGGCAACTGATTTCCCATCCCTGAATCACCACACCTTGAGTAAAGCTATTTTTTTTCCACATGATCTGCCAGTCATTCCACAGGATTTGCTACCTGCAAGATGAGCTCATCCATGTGCTGACACTTCTTGTTCATCTCTTCCTACCTCTCCAGACAGGACGAACAAACAGTCCCAACACCCATCTCCTACGTGACTGTCTCAGAGAATAAATCGACTCTTCCAGTCCCCATGGTCCAAAAGTATATTTTGGTGGAGAAGTCAAAATCTGAGCCCACTGCAGCAAGCTAGCAGAAGTTCACCTGAAGGGACTCATGCCTGAACAGGGTCAGTCACAGGTGAAGAGGTTGGGGCTGACTTGACTTGGCCATCCTGTAAATGTTGAGAGAAGCACAGGGAAGGATTCAGTACCACTCAGAGCTGAGACTGAGCCCTCTCCCAGGCACTGACTGACAGGAACGCTCCTCTGTAAGACCAGCCAGGAGCTTTAGACTTCGCAGGGAGATGACAGCCAGGATGAGGCTGTACTATCACTAATACAGTATTTTAATCAGCATTGAAACCAGATGATCAACCCTGAAGGAGGCTTTTAAAGACTGAAAAAAGATGTACTACAATTTCAATTTTCTCCCTCTCTCTCTCACTGTGATTAAAATATGTGATCTTGGAGGCTCTACTGCAGCTTGTACAAACCCATAATAATATTCACAATAATGGAACTTGCAGCTGGAGTTGGGTTGTTTGGTTTCTTTTGCTGTCCCTTGAGTCTTCCTTGGGTCCTTTTTTTTTTTTTTTTTTTCCATTTTGCTCCATACAGATTAAGATCCTTCCTTTATTAAATAGGAATGGTTATCTCCACTGACTCACTTCTCTAATAATAGCCAGAATCTTTTAATTCAAATGATCTGATTCCTGGGTTTTTTTAGATTAAAGTAAACATACAGTTAGAGTATTACTGGGAGAATGGCAATAGCAATACCATGGTCAAATTATGCTGAGACTCAATTCTGCAAAGCACATTGAATCCTTATTTAATACATTTCACAAGTTGAGGTGATGACCTCAAACACCAGAGTGGTTTCTCTTCTACAGTGGCTCAATTTCACAACTCTGAATATACTTCTTTTTTTGGAAGGAAAGCCATCCAAAGATTTTCAGAAAATGTTCTTTAGCCTTTGGGAATCAGTAAATTTAATGTCAGGGTATCATTCAATTTCAAAGAGTTGAAGGATTTGAGGAAATACAATCTGCTTTCTGAACAATGTGAGATGAATATAGTTGCGGTTTCATTAGAAACCAAACTGCAGAGTTTGGAGAGAGAGCTCCAGTTTTTCATACTTAAGAAAGGCTTTTGGTTTGTCAGCTGTGTTTCCCTGCAGCACTCTTCGTCTAACAGCCCTTCTTAGGGAGCTGCTCCTGCACACATGAACATTTGCATCAGGAACACATGGCAAAGTAGACACTGCTGACAGCCAAAGTTTCTATCATTTATTTGCCTTAAAATGGGAAGGGAGGTCCCTCCGTAAAGTCAAGAATCACCAACAGAAAGCACCTCCACTTCCTTTGAAGATCACCTTGGGTTCAATTACTGTTTTTCTATTTCCAATTGTGAAATGGGCAGGCACATAGGGAATAAAACCCCAGTCACTAACAGGGAACATAACAAGCTCTGAAAATGCCTCCTGAAAGCCACAGTCACCTGGGGTCCTGTGAAAAGATGCAGTCTCTGCTGCAGCCACCCTCAGCAGCACCAGACATGCCCATGTTGTCACCTCCCAGCCCACAGCACGAGAAGCCAAAGAAAAACCACCTGCCGGAGCCACAGAGACGCTCAGTCACATCTAACTTTATTTTAATCCCGTCAGAAAAGTTCAAGAATTACACCAAAAAATACTTCAGTCTCTGCTACCTACTGACAAAAAATACACCACAAAATTATAAACTGTTCAGTGGTTTGCTGGAGTTTGGATTGTGGGTGGAGGGGGTGGTTTGTACATTTTGAGTGAGAAATGAATTTACAGGTGGAAGAGGGAAGGAAGGATAGGAAGTCAGACAATGGCATTTGGCACTACATTTTTAGCTACACTATACAGTTATTTATCATGACGCCTGTTAGGACTGAGGAGTTCTGCCCTCATTTGCACCCTCTAGTATCTATGTATGTGAAATGGAGGACAAAACTGCCCAATGCGGGGGAAGAAGGAGCCAGTTCCTAATGTCCATCCCAGTCTAGCCACAAATCTAAAAAAGCAGCATCAGTCAAATATGAGCCTTGCCTTCCCTGTGCACTCTGCTCCTGCTGCTCAGTCTCAACCTGCCTGTGCTACCAAGGAGCAGAGCTGCTTTGTAGCAACAGCTTGCAGCTCTGAAATAAGAGAATCCTTTGTTTTTTCTTCTTTTAAATCCCACCAGTCTGCACTAATTGTGCATGCCATTTGTGGGGAGAGGATGTTTTACATTAGCCAGGGCTGGATTAAGCTTGGGATCTGGTCTGGTTTTGCAAGCAGAGGTTCGATGGGACCCTTGTATTCTGAGAGCATGCTATGTCCATCCGTCTCTACCTAGAATGATATTAAATACTGAAGTATCTAAAGTTGAAGAAGGAAAACAGGAGCATCCCATTTCATGGGTGAGGGAAAATCAGGGGCTGGAAAGTTTGAGGCTTAATGCTGTTCTATACTATCGCAACTTTTGAGAGAAGCCTCAATTTACAATGGAATTTCTTTGTGTCTTGGTGACCCTCCTGAAGGAGGTCCCAAAGGATGAAGTCTCGTGTAACTTGCCAAAGGTCATGCAGGAAATCTGTGTCAGCAGCAGAAAAAAAAGGCCTGATCTCCTGACTTCTGGTCCTGTGTTCAGAAGCATATTCCCTATGTCACTACAGCAGCCTCTGGCTGCTTCCACCCTGCTCCATACCCAAACAGCAACCAGGACTTCAGCCTCAGAACTCAGCCAAGGTCTCCAGCACAGCACCAGCTCATTACAAATGCCCAGATTTTTCTGGACTTACTGAGGCCACTTGCAGAGGTGTGTTTGCACATGTGTGTTTGCAGAAGGAGAGGATGCTTGTATTTATCAGCAAATCAACTGATGCTAGATTCAGTTTGACAGCAAAATATCCCCCTTTTGGCAAGCCAAACCACATCACCATGTCTTTGTAACAGGTTCTCTCTACCCCTACTCTTGAAAGGATTTCAGCTGTTCCTTCACTGCATATTGAGCCTCTGTCACAGCTTTCCAGCAATGATAAAACCTTGCAGGATTCTCTTTGCTGCTTTTATCCTCCTTGGCTGTTTCCCTAATTTGCTTTTTTTGTTTTTTAATTTATTTTTCTAACAAATAGTTAAGCAATGATTTAAAAATATTTTTACATCGTAAGGTACAGTCAACATCAAACATGCCTTTGTACAAGAGCTCGACTTGGTTACAAATCAACGAGAACAATGCACAAAAAGAAATATCCATTAAGATGACTCCTGCACTTGGTTTTTTTTTTTTAATTCCTGTTGTGCTGTTAGCACAGCACCCTCAGCTAGAGCAATGCAGTATAGCCACGGTGTTGTTCCCTCACCCTCCCACTTTTCCCATCATAACTTTAATGACCTTCTGTCTTGGCAGCCTTGGCTTCATGGTTTACCGATCCTGAAGACAGCCAGGGTGACACGGCCCGGGAGCTGGTCTGCTTGGCCATGCTGTAGTGGCTGATGACCGTGTAGAACCTGCCCCGGGAGTTGGAATCCTGTGCAGAATAGTAGGCGTCCAGCGAGGCCGGGATGCACCGCTTGTGCTGGGAAGGGGGAGAAAGCAAGAGAAGTGAAGAGTGGTCCCACCAGCCTCAGGCTCTTGCTTTAAAAAATCTCAGGGTTAGCTGTCTGCACAGGGGATGTCTGACTCAGACTTGCTGCAACCAAGAGCATCTGCTGCACAGCCCTGCCTGGCTTCCAGCGCCGTGGGAATGCACAAAGTTTAGAGTCGGGCAGAGCCTTCAAAACCTGTTGCTATTGGAGACCCTGACTGCAGGCTGATTTCATCCATGGATGGTAAACAGGAACTATAAAGTAAAGGTCTGACAGGCCTGGTACGTTACTGGCATGCACAGAGTCCGAGGCCCCTTGCTGGAGCCCTAGCAGGGCTGGCTGAGCAGCTCTTATCACATGCTGGACTGAAAGCTCTGCAGAATGAAGTCCAGAATTAATCCTCAGACAAGCAGAGCACAGGCAGAAGCAGAGTAAGCTGCTTATGTGCTGCTCTGTTACAGTGAGTTATCTCTGGCCAGCAGGACGATAACTTTGGGGTGGCAGAAGCATGGCCCAAATGGCCAGCCCTCGTCAGAGCTTCTTGTCTGTGCAGACACTGCCCACACATCTCTGCTGTGCTAGTGCAGACACTTCCGTTCTAAGAACTGCTCAGATAAAACCCTGTGCTTGGCAACAGCTGTAAAAGAGCAACCAATTGGTAACACTTGTTGGACTGGTTGGTATTCACCACAGTGAAAGCAGCACCAAGAATTCAAGAGGTTCTAGGTACAATCATTATTAAAGCATGAGATACCCCACCTCCCAATTCATTGTGACTAGATGAAATCTGAGTCCAAAACCTTTAATCTTTTCAGAAGTTCAGGCTTGGAGCTGAGTCTGAATTTCATCACTCCATCCTAACTTTATTTTTATATAACCTAAGGGAATAATTCACAATGACCAATATACCAAAAGTCTTACTCCGTATTCCAACTCACAGACTATCCCTGGTGTGGTCAAGACTCATGAATTTATGAGTTTATTCACAGGAAGGAGTCAGTGAACTATTTTGTTAACTTTTTTTTTTTTAACTTTAAATCTCAACAAACCAAGCAAATATTTCTCCGTGAATATTCAATATAAACCACTGGGCAGCAGCGTTTCAGCACATGGGTTTGAGTTACATGGTTTTGCTCTTGATAAAGGCTCAAAAGCACCTAAAAATTATCTACATGGACAAATTCTGATTTATTTCCAAAGGATACATGTGCCAGCACTCCGGGAGTTTGCTTTGCATTAAAATGTGTGCCAGTAAACCTCAGTCACTTGAATGTGTGGGAAGCAAATGCAGGATTCCAGCTGCAATAAATCCATTCACAAAAATGAGGGATTGTTCCTGAACATCTGTCTGTAGTGTTCACCAAATGCTAATCCCAACAATTACAGTGTAACAGTAGCTGATGGAGGCAGATGCAAGTCCACATTTCCCATAGTGGTTTTCCCATTTCAACACATTCTTGCCAAATGTTCTCTTTGGCCTGGTCAAAAAGGCAGACTAGACTGTAACGATATAGTCAATTAGAGTCTATCATTATCTCAGGCAATTCATCCGTCTGAAGTTTCTTACCTTATAAACAAATCCATCTGGGCAACTGTGGTCGTAAGTGAAGGCTTTGTACACCACAAGAAACACTATGCAGGCAAGGAATGCAAGAGCCAGACTTATGAGAATAGTGACCTACAAAAGAGGGATAATGTTACTCTACATATGTTAAAATGGCATATGAGCAACCTCATAATTAAATGACTTATAGTAACAGCCATCCTAACAGACTGCAGTCTTCACTTCACTGTGCAGTACTTAACTAAGCATGGTAATTGAATGAATGCTAGATACAGTAGCCCTGAATTCTCACTTCATTTCCATCCCCTCACAGACCTTCAGGAGTGCACATTCCTGGGTTTAACACCTTGAAAATATATGGATTTTACTGAGGCACCTGGTGCTCTCGGTGGCTTTGTGTTCCCATGCTCTCAGCTGTTCAGCCAGCATCATCATCCGCTGGCCCAGCAGGACCCACCTGCAGCAAGAGGTCACATTCCAGGTCTAGTCTGTGCAGATAAACTGCCTTATAACTGTGGTGGGATCCTGATTTTCTGATAGCAGAGGTAGGCAAGCAGGTAGGAAGAATGAAGCCTTTGTAGTACACATCCCTTTGTGCCTTCTGGGCAACAACAAGGATCAGTTGTGCCTGAGTACCTTGCAGGAGGGAGGGTGGGCAAAAGGGAATCCTTCCTGTTTATCAAAGCTGTAAAAGGATAATATCCCAAACACTGACAAAGGCCACCATGTAAATCCTGCAGCATGTCCAAAAGCAGATGCTGGTGTTAGAGGTACTAAACACAACACCTTCTTCTGGGCCCCATTAGTCCTCCGTTCCTCATTCCCAAGCAGGTTACTTTGCTGCACTATCCTGTTCTTTGCCATAGCTCCCTTTTATCTAGCCCTTTCAGGTTGCTCAGCAAGTTTCCTGCCCCCGTTTGGTATCTGGTCTGTAGCCCTAATCCTTGAATTTATCTGAGCTGTGTCCTCCCTAAGGACTGAGCAAGGATTCCAAACACACTCTCGTTCTCCCCTTCCACACAAGCTTTCTTAGTCCCACCTGGTAATTCCACAAACACAGCATCAATGGCTCAGGACTTCTGCCTAAACGACAGCAGCCCATCCTGTGGGGACTGCTGTCTCACACTCATCTGGATTGGCATAAAAAAAATAATCATAATCCCTGGAGCTCCACTGTTACCATGCAAACCAGAGTTCCTCATCAAATGAACTAACTCACAGCAATGATTGGGGAGGGAACAGCAACAGGGGAAACATTTAAAGCTGTTGCCTGCCCAGCAGCAGGGACAGGGAGCAGCAGCAGCAGCTCCCCAGCCTCCTCTGCCTCACTGGGACTGAGCATCAGCTTCCCACACCCAGCACATTGGGACTGCTGCTCAGAGCAGCTAAAGCAGCCCTGGCAATGCCATCTGCAGTGCTGGAAGATCCAGATGTACAATTTTGGTGGCTTTTTTGATAAAAAGATTTACCTTAATCTGCATGAATGGTGTTAAATCTGACCCAACACATCCAGTTCAAAACTCTGGAGGTGTGGAGACAATATCTAGCAGGAGAGATTAATAAATTATTTGTTAAATCTAAATATTTTAGACTAAAGTGTAAAAAGGTAAGAAGATTGGGGCTAACTGGCTTTTCCAATGATGAACAATTCACTGAAGTCTCAACCTGCCTTTTAGAATAACTGCTCATATTAACCTTCTCCTTGGGGCCTAATCTGCTGCAAGATGGGTCAATTAAGCAAAAGGCAGCTGCAGAGGGAGAAGCATGTCCTGCTGGATCTCATCAGAGAACATGTGTAAGAGAGTCCTAGTACACTGAAAAAGTGTCTGGCAGAAAAGAAGTACAGTTGTATGAACTGCACTAGTCTGACCAGGAAAAGGTGAGCTACACCTCTGGTCCATCAAAGCACACTTGCCTCCACATTTTAACAGAAATATTTTAGACCAACTTTATGGTAGCCCATTGGTTCCCATCCTGGGAAACATAAGCCCCTTTTCATAGTGCTGAAGAGGAAGAAGTCTCAGTTGGATTCAATGGAGATGGAAGTGGAATTTGCCATGATTTCTACCTCACAAAGAAGTCATTATACCCCAAAAAAATGAAAAAAAAAAAAAAAGTCACTTTGAAAAAGTACAGTCAAAAGGACAGACTTGCTGGAGTAAGTATGCCAGCACTCTGCTTTTTCCAACAGGAAGCCTGGAAAAAAAGACTGCTCTCCAAGAAGACCTGTCACAACCCAGCCCTTGCTGCCCGGTATGGAAGAGCATTTCCCCCTGTAAAATACATGTTGATACAACTCTTCCCCATTACAAAGGGGAGCATGTTACGCCTGGTACTTCCTCCAATAACAATGTATGTAGTAATATAAAGATGACAATGACACAAGCCCCTTTTGAGGTTAGTCTGAAGGCCATAAAGCAAGACATACATCTTGCTCTGCAAAGCCAATGCTTAGAGGGCAGCCCTGGCTAGAAATTCAGAAAATAAGAAATGCTCCCCAGCTCTGCCCTAAATACAATGGCTAATGAAAGAAAGAAATCTTGCTTGGGTTGAGCTGAAATTTGTGCTCGGGGCAAACAAAGAGATAAAGGGTAATGAAATTGCACTGAATGCAACCTGAGAGTGTACGGAGGGTAACTCAGTGGGAAAGTACCTCCTGCTCCTGAGAAATAAGAAATTGCTCATCCTAGCTTTCTTCAGTAAATACAATCTTCATCGTCAACAGCAGCATGTCAGCAGAAGCATACGCTTGGTTCCTTTCTCCCCCTCTGCATCCCTCTTTCCTCCTTCCCAGGGGGATCTATCAGGACTGACCACACCCAGAGACGACGCTGTGAAAGAGGAGTATCCCTGAACGGTGGGATGTCTCCCTCACCCGGAATGATTCTGTGTCTGCATTCCCCAAGAGCTGCCAACAAAGAGGCTTCAAAGGCTTCTCACTCTGAGGCAGTTAAAATGGCCAAGTTCCTCCTTTAGCCTTCAGAAAAAGAGAGCCGAGCTGTCTGGAGCAAGAATGAATGTCCCTTCTTTTGTTAAATCTCACGTACATGCACAGCCGATGGAAACAGCCATTAGTAATCTGCTTTGACTGGTTCCCTTCCTCTTGTCTGCCCACTGAGCCCCTAAAAATAATAAATTCCCCTCTGCTCTGTTGCTCTGCTCCAACAAAGTGCTGACACCCAATTCATTACCTCCCAGGAGCAGGTCCCTCCACAGAGCTCTCCCCTGCCTCCGGGGTATAATTGAGCCCATTCTCACTTCCCTCCTGCCATTTCATGCACTTGCACAATGACAGCGTGACACAATATTACACATGATGACACAGAGTGTAAAATTGCTCTGGGATGAAATGTCACATAAGATGTTAAAACTCAAAGGGAAATAAAATCCACCCCTGGATATTTTGCCACACCAGAGCTAAGATCCACCTCTCTACCTATTCCAGAGCACACAAAGCTCCATTAACATTCAAACACCAAAGAATCACAGAGCTGCAATACCTAATAAAGCTCCACTTAAAAAATAAACAAATACATAAATATTATTATTATTATTATTAATATTATTATTATTAACCTTGGCAGTTTCTAAGCAATATAAACAGTCACAGAGGGGAAATAAAATTTAGTGAGCAGATAAAACTTAGAAGTGCTCCAGGCATGAATCTGTCACATGTGAATGCTCAAGTGGTTAAAAGAAGAGGGGGCTTTGCCTGCTTCTTCCCTTAAGTCTTATATGGCTCCCAAAAGCTCCCTTAAAAGGGGAGTGTCTTCTAGAAGGGAAAAGAGAGAATGTCATTACCATACCAAAAATCTCCCTGTCCTCCACAAAGCATGGAAAAAGGACTTTAACATCCATGAAAGATGATGACAGCCTCCTGTCAACAGAAGCACACCTGGTTTTGTTCTTCCCCACCTTTCCCAGAGATGAAGTACCTGTTGCACTTTCTCAACAGCACAGATTAAAAAAAGATACATCCTCCTCAAGCAACAGGACACAAGTTGCCACTAGGTTTTGCTCCAGTGTAATGCTATCTCATTACAATGGTGTTCCAGTTAACCTGGCTTTCCTGCTGTCCATCGAAGTGCCCTTCCTACTCTCTTTGACTTGAGCAGCTGCACATGATTTTTTATTTGTTCATCAAAAATTCCCTTTTTCCCTCTCTAGCTACATGAAAAGCCTTATTTAAAAGCAAACCAGAGAACAATGCCACATCCAAACAGCAGGGCATTCTTTTAATAGCCTTTTTCATTGCAAGGCTTCTACATTTTTATTCCTCATTGTTTTCCTTATTGCAAAAAATTTTTGGTTTATGCCTTTAGTTGTCAGCGAGGGTGTGCACCTTTCAGCCCCTCCATGGAAGGGAACAAGGGCTGGGAGCTGCTGATCCCTCTGAAAATTGAGCCATAGATACTGAAAACCTGCTGAGTTGCACAGCCTGCAGGTAACTACACACTGGCACTGGGCTGGTACCAACTGTCCCACAAACCAGGGAGGTATTTTGGTACCTTAAGAGTCCTGGAAAACCAGAACTCTCTGGAAATATCTGGGGGGGAAAAAAGCAGGCAGAGAAAGGCAGATCCCAGATGGATGTTGACGGGAATACTGCTGCACAGAGCAGACATCCATAAGGAAGGATTTTCAGGCAGTGTAGGTGGGGGAAGGGTCTGTCAGCAGATGGCAGCTCCCTCAAATTTATGCACTGTTTGAACTGAGTTGACAAATATTTTTTTTTCCCCAGTGGAGACTGGATGCAGCCAGGGCTCTATTAGCATTCAGCATTCAACCTGTGCTGGTGAGCTGGGTGGGGGTGGTTTTGCTCCCAACTGAAGCCACATATTACTTGCATTAGCAGCTGGAGGAACATAACTTACAATCATGGCCCTGGTGTCAGGGCTTGTCACTCCACCTTTATGTTTTGTTCACAGGCCCGCTGATGGTGTCACACTCTGAGAGCACTCAGCTTAAAAACAGTTTTAAAAAATGGATAAGGAGAGAAAAATAACATGGATATTTAAATGCAAGCCATCTGACAGTGAAACACAGGACAACATCCTACAAAACTGTGAAGCACCACCTTCTGAAGAAGCAAATGGGTGTTTGTTTCTAACCCA